GCTTTAACCACTTATTTTTAAAAGGAAAGATCTATTTACTCTGAAGTTTCGAGGCTACGGATTATGCTGTATGTGCTGTGCTTGTCTCCTACCTAGGATGCACATATAGATGTGCAATCAATGTTTTCAGAGTGAATGAATGTCCTACTTAAGAATGTAGCTCAGAAGTTGAATTCAGTGCAATCTTCTTGGAGCTTGATTTGCACCAAATCTGAGTTTGCAATATTTTAACATTAAGGAAGAAGCTATTGCTTTTTGAAAGTCTTCCTTTTAAAAATCAAGTACCTTAATATTACTAATTCCCTTGTCCATGTGAAATAGTATTTGCATTAAAAAACTGATTTTGTGTATAATTGCTCATAGACAATATTTTCACCAATGTGAATATAAAATTGTTACTGGAAGGCAAACTATGAATGATACACTTTTCTAGGCAAAGTGTGGAGAATTTTTAGATGAGTAACATTTTGCACCTGCTTCTGAGTTGCAAACAATGTGGACTATTGGGTAAACAGAAAGATTCCAGACAAGATGCAGGGAAGGACAGTGCCAGAAGTCCAGTGACAAGGAAATGAAGCCACCCATTCCACGGAGTGAAACTTGAGTCCTCTCAATTGCACTTCAGACTTGTTTTACATTTGGTTTTATACTAGGATAAGTATGGTTTTAAAGCATGGGAAATTCCAAAGGGGCAAGGGACTCTTCTTTGTGTGTGTGTCATCGCATTTCATGTGCTTAAGAACTGTCCATTTCTACAGCTTGTTTTCAGTAACTAAAACAGAACACACTGGTCTGAAAGGTTGAGCATATGGAATTCAGTCGAGCTGAGGGAGATGACTTGCCATGTTCAGCGGTCCCTGACATGAACTGATCTGAGACGGTGGGACTTTCAGTATGCTTCGCTACTTGCAAACGTTTTCCAGGCATGCCTTTCAAAACGCTTGGAGGAAAGGCATGCAAAAGGTAGCAAAGACCATTCTGGTAAATCAGCAACATCAAAAACCTCTACCTTGGGTACAACCCAGTGCAACTACTAAGCAAACAAAATTCTCCTTCTAGGCTGGTCGTTATATAGGTAGTTGCAAAAAAAAGGTAATTTTCAAGACACCTTTCTTCTCACTGCAAATTGGATCAAACTTAACTAAATATTTGGTAACTAGTATGCACCAGTAACTTCTTCTGACCCTTTCTTCCCATAAGCAATCTTGTGCAATGCAATTTCCCTTCTTAATACTGTATTTTCAGGTACCTATATTAGGCCACTTTTAAACTTAGTAAGAGAGTAAAGATTTGTGGTTCAAATTAGAATGGAAGCTATGCCAGAGATAACAAAAGACTTTTGGTTTCTATTTTTCTTATAAACAACAGGATAGGGTTGTGTTAATTCAAAAGAATAGGTATTAAAAAAAAAGAATAGGTATGTTTACCTTCCAGATTTTCTAATAGTTAACTAGTCAAATAAAATTGTTTTATTTACCAAAATAGAAGGACCATTCCTCGACATTGTCAGATAACTTCCAGCGTAATTAACACAGGTTCGGTGATCTTATTAAGCCACAAAATCGTATTTTTAAAATGCACCAAGCAGTTTGAGATATTAAGGTTGGCTTCCATGTAGACAAAAACAAAAACACAAAAACCTTTACCTTCTCTCTTAAGTAGTAATTAAACCGACTAGGAATTCTGACAAATTAACAGAGGATATTTAACCCTGTTTAACTCACCTCATGCTCCAGCAAATTATTTTTTCCTCTTCATCGATTTTCTACCTTAAAGGACACTTACTGAATTGCTGATGTACAGCCAGTATCCTCAGACAGAAATGAAGGTCATTTTTAGAAGAACCCAATCTCAAATGAAAGCACAGCCTTCTACGTGGTCACATGCATACTGTACCCTCATTACCCACAGTGAGACAGTAGGTCATTCCTCATTCTTTTTTTATTCCTGGCACAATCAGACCACACCAGGAAATTATGTGAGATGCTTCAGAGATACTGTCAGGACAGGAAATCCAAGACAATGAGCAGCATGACAACCAGTGGCAACAGGCAAACTCCAACAAGGTCTGGGTTTAGATTTGGTTTTATGTTACTGGAAGCAGATTTGCTCTGGTTTTTAATAATTCATAAGAAACAGAAATCACAATGCACTGACTTAGTACCCACCTACAAAGAGTTCAAAAATGCCGAGTTCTCCCCCCATTCGCCCTCTTGTTCCACCAACATTTTGAAAATAAAGGGAAACAAACAAACAAACAATGAAAAGAAAAAGAGAGTGAGAAAGAACACAGAAATGATTTAAATAATTTCAAATCCTTCTTAAACATCACGGAAGTGCATTTGATCCATCAGGCTGACTGTTGGCTCTCACCACTAAGACCTTGCAAAGGAACTGGACGTGCACAGTTCTGCCTTCCAGGGCTGATCTAGCGCCGTAAGGGTGAGATGTGTATGAATCTGTGTGTGTGCTTTAAGTTCATTTTATAAATACAATTCTCCTCATTTGTAATAGTCTTTGAAGTCCAATCATGCAGAGTAACAGGCAGGTGCAAGTTAGGTCTTGTTGCAAGATAGACATGGCAAGGTGAACAGTTTAATGCTAACCAGGGGTGGGAGATTTGTGTCCATTAGAATATACTGGCCATTGGTCCCACATAATCAAAAGTTAGACACACAGGAGTCCACATGTAAACAGAGACTATCCATTTCAGCTTGCTGACCAAGGAAATGGGTCAAAGTGAGCCATTCCAGACAGCAAAAAGAACTGTCCAAGTGCTAAAGGAAATAACAAAATCTTATATTTTAATCACATGGAAAATAATTAATATAACTATTTACAATGTAACTTCTTTGTTTTTCTTACAGAAAGGAGTTTCCATTCTTGGTTCAGTGATATCTGTGGAAAATGTCAATCTTTCACAATAAAAACACATGTGGGGTATTGTGAGTGGGGTGGGGGTGGGGATTCCTCTTCAGGCCCAAAGTGGTTGGGATCAAAGATTCCTGGGGCAATTTTATCCCTTTGTCTGAGCTACAGAAGATAAAATTTTCAGCAAAGCTGGCTGACAGCATTTTTCACAGAGCATAATGCTTTTAAGATTTAGATTGTCATGTGTTAAGAGAATTAAATAGAAATAGATTTTGCATACTTTAGATTTTGCAATGACTATTTAAAACTCAAAAGTCACTTTTGCCTATTGCTTTTTCCCCTGGCAGGTCATAAAAGGATTTCTGTATTCTGACCTATGCTGCTTACTCTATTTGTCAAGGCTTGTTTTCTGATTAACCAGTCAGCTGCTACCAGTATCCTTAGGTAATCATTTTCTGATAATGATAACAGATTGAGAAAAAACTATCCAGCTTCTAGGCCCTCAATTCAATAGTTTTCTCCAACTGGAGGGAACTGACCAGGTGCTGGTCCACCTGTGGGGTACATTCCCTTTAAACTCAGTCATCAAATTCTTAAAGATGCAAGATCTTCATCAGTTTTTATTCCATGAGAAGTTTGGTTGTAAGGTCAACGTGTCTCTTTCTATCACACTGGCCCAAAAAATACATATGAAAATACCAAAGTGGAAAAAATCAACCCCAGAGCAAGTAAGGAGCCAAGCCTTAGCTCTATTTGTATGTGATACTTCAATATGAAAGATTTGTTCCATTTCTTTCTTATCCGTAGGGAGTTCTGGCTCAAGGTAATCAGCTCCCAAGAGCCATACAACAGGAGAGATCAGACGAGTAGAGTTTAGGAAAAGCAGCAACAGCAGAGGAGGAGCACTGGCTAGTTCTTGCCTGGTTTAATCTGAGTGGAAAAAAAAAAATCACTTCGGCCAACACGAGACATAGCCTAACATCAAGCACTTCTAAGATGCTGGCTGGAGACGGGCTTCTGTCTCCTGATGTCATTTTGTGACTGATGAAACGCCCCTTGTGACTCACCTTCCCAGATGCCTGCTGTCTGCGCTGAATCCCATGTGTTTAAAAAGCTGAGAGTGGAGATGCCACGGCATAGCAAGAGGAGAGCAGGGAGGAAGGAAAGAGCGAACAGTGTGGAGAAGACAAGCCACAAGGGGGTGGGGAGCTGGGGGACCGTGACAGGAAGGAAGAAGAGAGGGCTCCCAGGAACATGGAAGCATTTTAAAAATCAGGTCATTTGCAACATTAACCAAAACCAATGGCAGCCAGATGGAGAAACCGGGCCACTTTTATTCCAGAAGACAAGCTGCACAGTTGAGTGTTTTCCCTCTGCATTTTAAACAAGTGACCTCTCATCACGACGCCTGCTGTGTGAAGCAATCCCTTAAATGGCAGCCTCGCCCCGTGGCGGTGGTGGGGGGTTGACTCTATTGCTTGAGAAGAGACAGACGCAGCTTCCCTAGTGTTGTGTTTAAGGCAGTTTTCAGGGCGCTGGCGTTCTCGGCTGCTCTGTTTTCAAAGGGGCTCCGTTGGTCAGTCACCTCGCACTCATCCACCACCCACTCCCTGCGTTTCACTTCTTCTTCCAGTGAAATATCACCACACGGGGCGGTGAGGGGGGAGCACCAAAGTGGTCAGAGGGCGAAGAGCAGTGACGGATACTCCGCCAAAGTGAACGAGAAGAGACGCCTCGACCTGGTCCCCATTATTGCTGTAAATAGCCGGGGTGTTTCATAGTGCCTCCTTCCAGGCCCGGGAAAGCACTTCCATTTCATTTGAGCTAAATTTAGGAGATTTTCAAAGCATTGACACAAATGCCTCATGGCTTTTAAGACACTCGTATTGCTAAAGCTGTTCAGCAGCCTTAACTTATGGGCAGAGTTATTGCTGTCACATCTACTCCAAAACTCAGACCATCAGCCCTTCTTGGATGGTTCAAATTTATGAGGAGAAACAAACAAACATGAAACAGCAGCCATGTTAAGGAGCTGAGGAACCGCCTGACGAATGTCTGGGAAATATCTTCAGAGACTGACCTGAGGATCACCCTGGGCTTTGGGTATTTTTTTACGTTGTTGTTGTTTGTTTTTAATTCCAGAAGAGGGAAGTAATGCTTCGTCTCAAAATAAAACCTTGGCAAGTTCTAAACCTAGAAAGTAGCACACTCATGAAAACACAGCCCACAGTCTGAAAATCGCCTGGGTATGCTCGCCTTCGGTTAAGAATATCATGTGGAGACTGTTCCCTCCGTTTCAGGGAGGGGTCCTCACCATCAGATGTGAACACGTAACCCTGCCTCACCACCTGCCACTCTGTCCAGTTGTGACATAAAATGTGTAAATGACAAGTGGGGTCTCCTTTCTAAAATATGCATGCCAGTGTCTCCTAGTGTCTGGGTAATTATCTTTAAGTCTTCCTTCACAGCACAACCCTAGTCTCTAGTCTCTCCTACCCACTCGCTACCAGAGAAAAGACCCTCAGCTTGCATTCCTACCTTCTAAAGGTCAAACCATGTAGTACCTGGAAACTGGTATCCCCTCCCACCCCGCACTGTTCATAAGCATCACATATGTTCCTTCTACAAATCGGTATACAGGTGCCATTTAATCAGTTCAAGTTTGGAAGCTACATCTCCAAGGGTCCAAGAGAGCTCACTTCCCCCGTACTCCCCCCTTACATGTTTTCTTATAAGACATACAGCTTAATCAATTAACAAACTAAATAGCTTATATACTGGCAATATATTACAGATGGGTTTAAGTCAGAGTAATAGATCACATGAAATGGACCATGTGGTACCCCAGTGCGTGATGTCTCGGTAGAGCCCTGAGGACACTGACAGTAGCATCTCTAAGTAAGTAGTGCTGTGTGAATACAGACACATGCGGGTCTGTATCTACATCCATCTGACTAGGCCAAAAGGAGCAGGTAGATGCAAGATAGAGACACACACATGCTGGACGGGGCCACTGCACACCTTGTCATGCCATTTGAAAGGGCAATTACAGATCGCTGGTTTTGCAGCCATTAAAATTACACTTTATGGAAAAGACTTCTCTAATTGTGTTTGATTTGCTTTCTGTAGTAAGCATCATTGGAAGAAGACCAAAGCAAGAGCAACTAGAAGTTAAATAGACATTTGGCTTAGCTGCATTACAGAACTCTGGAGAAGAAGCAGGCTGAAAGATTTGTTTCAATTTTAGGCTTGGATTCTCTCCCTTGCTGTTTTCTTGTCAGTGAGTGTCTGCATTTGTGTGTGTGCGTGAGTGTCTGCGTGTGTGTGTTCCATCACATCATCTCCTGAAGAACGCCGGGTTTCGCAGGCAGGCGGCTAGTCACCTGCAACAACCCAGGGGTCCTGCCGAAGCTTCCAGGCTGCTGTCAGTGTCAGATGCCAGGGTCTGGTCGGTGGACATGGAGGAGATGTCATTGACAGACGAGGATGGAGGGAGACTCTCACTGCTGTTCACTGCTGCACCTGTGCTAAGAAAATGAAGACCCACATGACTAAACCTGGAACTAGACTCGGCTTCATGTCACTCAGGATGCAGGCACGGCAAAAGTGATAGGGGCTGTCTGGCCCATCATTCATTCGACACACCTTCATAGAACAGCTAACACAGGAAGTTTTAAAAACAAAATCATGTAAGGCTCCTATCCCAGAAATGTGGGCTCAGATGAAGCCCAGAAGTCAGAATTACTTGGAGGCTACAGCTCTAGAGAAAAGAAGGGGCACTAAGTAAATATGATTACATAGTCATTAATAGAACACCAAACTGAAAAGCCATATAGAAAAGCCATGGAGGACTGTTGATGAAAGTTACTATAGACCAGAAAAAGCACAGGAGAAGCCGGAGCACACCTCTCGGTCATGCATTTACTTTCAGCAGACTTGCATTCCTGGGAGTCTACAAATAAGAACTCTGAATTATTAACTTAGAATAATTCTCAAAACTTTTAAAATGTATCTGCTATGTGGGAATATGAATATTTTGAAACTCTGAGAAGGAACTTGCTCATAGCAATCATTCAGTGAATACTTGCTGAGCATCAGTAGGTTTGAGGACCACAAAAGAAACTGAGCCAGAGGCATAGCAGAGTGTACTTAAACCAGAGCACCCTGAACAGAGTCCACTTATTTTTTCTTTTTATAGATTCTTTATACTCAAGCAATATGGGTGGTGAAATGCATGCTTTGTGAAATAGTTCACTATTAAAACTATCTGTAGTATAGGCATTTAATAAAATAAGAGATGAGGAATTCTCACTAAATCATATCTAATGTGAGCAAATATAGTGTGCAAGATATATTAGGTGAAAATCGTAAATACAAAATAAGTTACAATAGTGTTATCACAGAGACTTAATAAATCAGAAAAAAAATCTAATAAAGTGGAGAGGTTAACACAATCTCTTTGTTCCTGGGGTGGGCATTTCCTACCTGTGGAAAAAATGTGATTAAAATGTGACTGTATCTGGAAGGAACCCACACCCCTAAACTAAGACAGATTACATGTACCTTAGGTGCTTTTTAAATTTTTATGTAATTGTTGATTATAAATATGTAAATTATGAGAAATGTGAACAAATACAGGAAAAAAGATAACAGTGTGCACTGATATTAATGATTAAAAACTATTAAACTTTTAGAATATTTCTTTCTAGTCTTTTTGCTAGAAAGTTTCTCTAACTTGATCATTTAATATATATCCTTTTGGATCCTGATATTTTCATATACAAAAAAAGGTTATGCATTTTTCATGTTCTTTAAACTCATAAAAGTATCATTACCTCCTAATCTTAAATCTCTCTAGATTTTTAAATCTCTCTTGCTAACATCTTCCTGTAAATAATTATACTCTCATCAGAACAATGCATAATGTAAAGCTATCTGACTTCAATTTATTCCAACCTTACTTAATTATATCCTTTATACATACGGTCCAGAGCTAGCTCATTTCCTCTCACAGTGTGTACCAGTAGATTTCATATGCTAGCAAACAACCCTTAATTACACAGTGCAAATGCCCAGTTCTGCTTTTCCCCTTGATTCTACATTAAATTACACCAATATGCTCGTGTCCTTTCATCAGCTTTGGTCTCTAGTAATTGAGCGTCACAGTGCTGGGCTTCTCAGAATCATCTTCACTTTTTCCACATCATTATTAAAGGGTGGAGATTAAAACTAGACACAGGATTCTAATAAAGGCTCAATCAATTGTGAGTCATAAGAGTGAGCTTATGATCCACGCGTCTCCCGGATGGTCTATCCCTACACTATGGATGCTTTCAAATCATGGCACTACATTTTAGATTTGGCTTTGACTTGAAATATAAAATACTGCCCACGTACCTTTTGTAAGAGCTTTATTAAGATATAATTCACAAATCTACTTTGTGCAATTCTATGTTCTTTAGGGTACTCACAAAGTTGTCGCAACAATCACTGCAATCAATTTTGCACGGTTTTCATCTCCCCAAATAACCCCATCCTCTATTTCTTACCACCCAGCCTCTGGGCAACAATTAACCTACTTTCTGTCTCTACTCTTGTGTGCAGAATAAGTACTCGATTTAACAAAACATTGAGTATCTTTCGCATGCACTCGTCTTGAGAGGTTCGGTGAGGGAAAGCACATTTCTCCCCGTGATGAAACCGGTGGAACTGCTGACCTAGCTCTGGCCAAGGGAAGTCGTTTTGTTGTCATCGTCTTCTTCTCCTTTGGCTCATCAGCTGACTTTCTGTAATTCCTGTCTTCTGTGTTGGAATGGTCCTGCTCTTTATTTTTACCGATGTTGAATGCAAATTGTTGTTGGCATTCAGTTATTCAAAATTCAGAATCTTTATCAACTGTATTTCTAGGATTCTACAGACTATTGTTCCTGACTTGTTACAGCACACGTTTATTTTTAATGAAATAAAAAAATGTGCTTCTGTATCTCTTTTTCTATTGTCCTGTAACAAATGCCTTCTTGACTAGAGCTACCTCTGATCTTACTGGATGAAACAGAAGAGTCCAGACATAGATTCTGGCTTCAAGTTGTTAACTTACTGTCAAGCAGTTTGTGACAATTTCTCAAACAGAACTGAACTGAACTGAATTTGATTATAATGTCCACTTGCCCAGGATACCCTAGCAATGTGATAAACATACACCTTCTCTCAGAGAAACCAATAAAGATACACATTTAGAAAATGTTTTACCATCAATAAAGCATATTTTGTCAATAAAAATGGCATTAAAATCAAATGAAAATACTAATAGGGATGCAATAAAAAATACCAGCTATTTTCAACTTTCCTGGAAAAAAAATAGGTTTTATGGAAAGAAGGAACTTATGATGATAAAAATTCCTCAGCTAGAAGTTATGTAGCCAGAGGTATTCATTATTTCAGGGGAAAATGTTGTTCTATTTTTCAAAGGAAGTTTTTCTCCTGACTCATCTAAACTCAAAAAAGTAGGCACAAAGAATT